ACATACTGTCGGTATGGAAATGCTCTGTGCAGGTGTTAATCAAGTTAAATCCCAACAGCCAATCAGCAAGAAATGCTCTGTGCAGGTGGAAATGCTCTGTGCAGGTGTTAATCAAGTTAAATCCCAACAGCCAATCAGCAAGAAGTATAGAGGAAAGCTGCATGCCTATTGGTTGATGCCCTGCATTCCATTGTGATGACTCATGCCCAGACGTGGTAAACACGGCACACTAACACAGTAATACATTTGCTATAACACAGCCAAAAAACTCAAATAAAACCATTCTAAAAGCCTGTATCACAAAAATTTAAAAAACGCCTAGGGGTATTTGCCCACTGTACCTCCATACCAAATTTCAGGACCTTAGGCCCTAAAATGAAGAAGCTGAATCCATTTAAAAAATGGCAGGAGAAGAAGAAGGAGGAGAAGAAGGAGAAGAAACATCAGAAAAAGCAATATGGGTTCACCACCACTTCGTGGTGTGGTGAACCCATAATTACCAAGTCCAGTATTGCACAAGGCAGCATGACACAAAAAGAAAACAGAGTGGGGGACTAAACACATTCTATATTAATCTGAAAATTGGGCTACATAAGGTCTGACTATCACAACAATCTAAAAAGCATGTTCCCTTTTCAACATAGATACTGATTGTCCTGATTGTCCTGTTACTCGCATTGAAGAAACAAATCCTGGTGCTATTTCATCCAGGATTACGATGTACAAAAGGAAGAAAATTTTTCTTGGCACACCTGGTCCATTTTCCTCACGCCTGATTGTCATCGTTAGATCAAGAAGACTTTACAATCCATTTGTTGATTGTAGAAAACCAATATACTGCCCCTCCTCTGTAACAAATCTCTTCAGCCTGTTCTTTCCTCTCTCCTTGATAATGATAAAAAAGAGGATCAACAGGGGGTTATGGCAGTGCAAGTCTTACGTAAAAGTATAGCTTAGTACCTTGAGTTGTAGGGACCCAAAGGTCATCGATCAACCCCCTCGCCGTATGTCCATCGGCTGAAGTATTAAAGGCTGTTCTGTACACTTAATTTGGCGTAACTCCTCTTTACCTGGCCTAATTGAAAAGGTGATATCTCAAATGAGATCTGAAACAATGTTCAATGAAGGCCAACCAAAACAAAGGATGGCATGATGTGAATGAAAAACCTTTAATACTCCATTAAAAAGCGTGATAAGCAGTCTGATTCCAGGCTAATGTAGCTTGAGTAACAACAATCTGCGTTATCTTGCCAAGTAACACAGGGATGTAGCTGCCAAGATCACTCCACATGAATGCCTTGGAAAGGAAGACTTAAAGGAAAAAGCCTCCATTCATTTAATTTTCAATACATGAAAAAGAGGGGATTTAGATTAATGGCTTTCCTGCTGTACAGTGGACTTAGGTGTTGTGAAACGGTATGTTACCAAACCACTGCAGGAAAATCCAGGTTAAGCTTTTTCAGAGATATCTCTAGAGGGGTACATTTATTTGGTTAGCTTTCGCTTCAGCTGAGGTAATTGTGTCCAGGTGCTTTATCCTTCGTATTCGCCATGACACTTATCATCACAGATTATTTTTCCTTATATATGCAGGAGGAAATTGAAAACTAAACAGGCATAACTAATAGAAAGTTGCAAACCTTAGGACAATCTCTTTCAGCTTAACCACTAAGTGTCTGCATTACAGTTTCCTGCCCTACTTTGTCAACAGTCTGTTCTGTGTGTGTGGTCCAACTGAAGTGTCAATGACAAAGATTATCTCACATGTATGATAGTCAGAAGTAGCAAAATGTTGTAGTTTAAGAGTACACGTAGTGCCTTTTTTTAACAACATTATAGTACGAGAATTCGAAGGTTACAGTCATTTATAGTGTGTTTCAAGATGTGATATCATGATGCCTGTTGTCAAGTACTTTAGTACAGAAAAGATCTTAGTCTAAAGTTGGTCTATTTTGAAAAAGAAACATTGTGTATGTGTTGTACAATATATAGAAAAGTTTAAAATATACTGACACAGAAATTGCTGGAGGAATGTACTTTAAATTTTTAATATTTGAGGCTTAAAAACATTGTTGTACAAAATTATACAGTACGTATATAGCTGATAAGTGAAAGACCTTTACGATGGTATAATAAACATGTAGCATAGCCAGTGTGGGTTGGTATATGTGTAATGCTGCTACTGTACATGGTGACCTACATTCTTGGGACCAGGGACATTTTTCAGTATACATGTAGTACTTAATTTTTCTACAATATTTGAAAAGTCAACACCTATTACAACTACAGCACTGTACAACTTGCCAGATTTAACAAATATGCTTGTACATTGTATTACGGTATTGTAGACCTTGTAAGTGCTTAATTGTGACGCACCAAAATAATTAAAGATGGCGAGTTTTTATTTAATTGTTCAACAGATCCTGTACATAAAAAGAATTGAATGTGTTTGTTTTTCTCATTTTTGAATGACTGTACAGAATAGAATTTCATGTAAAAGTTTAACATCCACACCACATCAAAATATACATGTAGCCCACCCACCAGAATATGTCCCACTTAAATCAAGCAGCCTACTTTCATTACAAATGCTCGCGATGGTGACAACCTGTCACTCTCACATTCGCTGCATTAGGAAGAGCGTCTTTATATGCTTTCCATAGAAATGAAGCAGGAAGGTGCTGTCCACCATGTTGGTGTCTTAAATTTGCATTTTAATGGCTGGTAGCTGATGAAGTGTACACAGCCGAAGTGTACACAGCACTTTGTGTTTAATTGGCAATTCTTTGTATTACAACATTAGTATTTTGTGTAAATGATGCAAAGAAATCTATGCAATGGTTTGCATCAATAGGGTTTTTGCACCTGACATCACAATTGTAGCCTGGTTACCAGACCTAGTATAGCTCCCGAGTCCTACATCCTCTCCGCAAATAATGTAGGACTCGGGAGCTATACAAGTACAAATAGGTCTGGTAACCAGGCTATCACAATTGTGTTGCAAGTTTGTTGAATCTAACTGTAACTTCATTGTACAAATTCAAAATGTAACTTCCGCGTTTAATCATCCAGCATGGCAGATGATTAACTTGTGTCAGTCAAGCGAGTGCAAACAGCCTATTTTCTGTTGTTGATTCTTTTTTTTTTCAAAAGAAGTGTTGGTAAACATTCTTATAGATGTTCCACAATAAAGATTTTGGGTCATTTCAGTGTTTTACTGTCATCATTGTCTTTGTCAGATACACACCAGCTATCTTGTGTAATTACACACTACACACTATTGCCACTGAGAGTTTGAATACACAAACTATGGTTGAATAGTCTAGAACATAACAACAACATAAAATTCATACCTAAGTTTGTAAGGGCACATAAAATACACTAATACAGCACCACAACTGTAACAACTTTTCACTTGAATCTCCTTTATTTAGCGCATGGCTAACCAATATATGAAATCCATATCCCGCATTTTAAATGTCAGTTACTCCATTATTCTATCAGCCTAATGACATTGCCAAGAACTCCTGAAGGCAGCCATTGAAAGATAAAGATCTTGGTTCAGACTTTAAAGACCCTCTAATTACAATTGACAATGCCTCTGGTCATACTTCACCTATACCACTCATTACACTCTTATTGTCAGGATTTTTTAAAGGTGATAGTTTATCAAACTATAGCGGAAATTATAGGGCGTAACAATAGGCCAATTTCTCATTCCTGTCAGCCAAGCCTAAATTTGATTAGCATGATGATAGAATGCATTGTAAAGAGGTCTTTGCAACACATCAGTTGAATTGTGATTGAGCTCAAAGCAGTTTTTAAGTCAATTTAGAACATGCCCAAATTTAGAGGTGGGCTGCATGGCACTGTGGGTAAGAGGGGACAAATATTTCGCTGGAGAAAGTTGATAGAAACATGAGTAGAAGGAAAATGATGGAATCTGGTGATTTGTGATATAAGTATGCTTGTCTTGGTTCACAATAGTGGCAATGTACCGTTGTATATACTTTTATGTATCTCGTTGGATATCCATACTTTTGGTATGGAATGCCATGCTTTTGTTGTGTCAATCTTTCTGTCTAGTATATCTCTAGTATTTTTAGTATTATAGGCCATGTTGATTTGATTATATGGATGACATCCTCTGGGAACCCGAAAACTGATGCGAGCGTGCGAATAAAAAAAAGTTTTGCAAAAAAAAAGTTGCTTTCACTATGAAATCTACGTGGTCATGAAGGTTGAACAGATGGCACAGAATATGTTATGGCGAATAATCTACTCTTCGAATTCATTTCTTTACATTTTTGTCTTTTTTCCTTTGATTTTGGCATTCTACGACATTGGTATCGTTTCTAAATGTTTTCCTTGCAACTTATGGTATATTTTTGCTCATTTAGCAACTTTTTTGCACGATTTACAGTATGGTTGAAAACTTTTTTTTTTTTGGAAACGGCCGAAAATTCATGCGCGCGCGGATGTCATCCATATAATCAAATCAACATGGCCATAGTAAAAACAAGTGCTTCTGCAAAAGCTGACCATTTTCGCCGCTTACAGGCTTACAGTTTTTACGAATATTTTCCCCATCCTAGCATTTCAATTTACCTAAGTTATATAAATGGTTCTAGTTCTCATCAACATTGTATATAATGAGAGAACATGCACTTCTATATTTCAACTCTTTAAGTTTAAAACATTACAAAAATCAAGTATATAACAGTTTATAACCTGTTTTCTCTCTTTTAAGAGTCTTTTTAACAGAATAAAAAAATGAGACACAAAAGTACATTTTTTAACTTAAATTATAAGTAACGTTAATATATATATATATAATTTTATTCAAAATCTCTTCTATGGCTTTGTCCCCAACATCTAAGTTTACAAACCTCGTGACATTCAACCAGGGCTTTAGCCAGCGCCCGTTTTACCGTCAATTGACGGTATTTTTTCCCGTCGGACGGTAAAAATTTA